AGAAGAAGAAGGAGGAGGAGGAGGAGGAGGAGGAGGAGGAAGAGTTCAAGGCCAGCTTAGGCCAGATAGCTAGATCCTGTTTCCAAACAAACAAAAGTCTGAGTAAGGTAGAGAAGGTGACCCCTAGACAAGAAGAGAGGTAGGGCTGGACATTTGCCTACACCTTTCCAAAGGCCACGGGCTCTTGAGTCCAGAAGACCTAGCTCAACCCCAGCTGCACATGGCCACAGGAAGCGGCTGTCTTTCCAGGGTTGTCTCTCCCCGTTACATGGGGGAGAAAAGCTCCCCCTTGGCGGGGCTGCTGTGAAAGTGTTAATAGAACAAGAAATGGGGAGCCCTTGAGACGTGGTCGCAATCCTGCTGGTACCTTAGAGTCACAGGCCTTGGGCAGCCTCAGCATCCTCTTCCCAGCCCCCGACAGCACTACCAAGCAGCCACAGTTATTCCCTCCTGACAAGCCTGCTGGACAGCACTAACGGCTCCATCCTTAGGGGTAGGGACTGGGCCTGAGACAGGGAATGGGCTGCCCAAAGACATGTGGTCGGGAAGAAGCAGCACCTAGCCTGCACTGTGGTGAGTGGAGAGCCCTGCTCCGCTTTCAGGTGGCCGAGTAAGTGGCCATTGCTGCAGGGACGCTTCCTTGCAGAGCAGCTAGTCCTCTGGGATTGGAACTGGCTGTCAGAGAATTCATTCCAGTGAGGAGGCTCCTAGGCTGGAGAAGCACCCATCTGTCAGGCCCAGCTGGGACTACAGACACTAATGGCCTACCTTCTCACGATTCTTCTGGGCCTAGTACCACTGCAGCTGGCAGGAGGGCTGAGCCTGGATCCCAGACGAGGGGCCCTGAGTGAATGGCCGAGTGTGGGAGAACTCCATACTACCTATCCTCTGGCTGGTATCGATCCACCCAACTCACTTTAGAAGCGTGGGGCAGCTATGGACAAGCAATCCACTCCTCTCAGATTCCCAGAAGTCCAGATAGGTCTTGAACTTAGGATCCTCCTACTTCAGACTGGGATTACAGGCCTGCATCACCAGGGGTGGTTCTCAGGTTCCACTTGCATTTTTCCCCTTTGGACAGGATCTCACTATGTAGCCCTGGCTGGCCTAGAACTCACTGTGTTGCCCTGGATATCTCAAGCTCTTCATCCTCCTGCCTCAGTTTCCTGAGTGGTAGGATTATAGGTATGCACTTTTTCCAGGTTCTGCTTTAATTCCTCTGAGAGAGAGAGAGAGTCATTATAATTGCTAAAATTCCTTGGTGCCCCTGAAGGACGCTGCTGAGAACCTTCTGCCCAGGCTCTGCTCAGAGGGGCCTTGCTCCCTCCCCTACATGATAAGCAGTGCTCTCTGTGACCTGAAGTACCCATCCCTCAAGCTCCACCTTCCCCAGCACCCAGCTGCCCCCGCAGCCCGCGCTGGTTTGCTCAATTGAGCCCTTCATCTCTCAACCACTCACTACGCGCATCCTCCCTGTGGACCAGGCACTGTGCCAGTTTGTGTAAGTACAGAGCAAGTGAGACCCTGCCCTTCCTCCCAGCCCTACAGCCGCTCTAGTCTACATGGACGTCGAGGCAGTAAGTGCTGAACCTGTCGCCGGATGACCCGGCCTGGCCCTGCGGGTGGGGAGACATTCCGGAGGGTTTGCTGTCTGTCTTGAGTTCTGAGAGTCGGGGACTGTCCTCATGGAGGAGGGCAGCGGGCAGGGCATGTCCACAGAGAGGGTATGAGGGAGTGTGGCCAGGGCCAGGAGTGAAAGGCCAGCAGAACACAGAAGCCAGCACACGCCTGGGACTTTGCCCAAAGCACCTTGCATAAGTGACTGCAGGCCCTGAGATGGCTCAGCAGATACCGGGGCTTGCTGCCCAGTCTGACATTTGAGTTCTATGCCTAGAGAACCCCCATGGCAGACAAACTCATCTTCATAAGCTCTCCTCTGACTTTCACATGCGAGCCATTACACACACACACACACACACACACACACACACACACACACACACACACACACACACGCGCGCGCCCCAAATAAATAAATGTAATAAATAACCTGGGCAAACCTATGTAAAAGAAGGGCCCTACTTTACCCACCTTTGACTCTTCAGAGGCTGGCTGTGAGCTAAGTACTGCTAAGTACTCACCGAGCAATGGCTGGATAAATGAGCCCAAGAGACAAAGGGCCTGAGGTCAATCCTTGGGGGACACCGAGACATCATCGCTACTTCCTATACCCTTTGTCTAGTTACCATGGACCACCGAGCCCCGTTCCCTATTGTTACATCTGTTTTACATACAACAAGGTTAGGGTCACACTGTAGGGACTGACAGGCAGCTAGTCTTCAGGGCCGGCGCTTGTTCTGACCATGGCCTGTGGAACACCAGTTGCTGAGGGCTCATGGACTTGTCTGGAGGGACAAAGCGGTGCTGAGTGAAGCTCCAGGTCTCTCTCTCTCTCACACACACACACACACACACACACACACACACACACACACACACACACACACTACCTCTCTGGGTCTGCAGAGTTGCTTGGGGTAAGCCAAGGGGAGGCTGATCTCGGGAGGCCTCCTGAGGAAGTGGAAAGAGCTCACGTGCCAACTCAGCCACCAAAGCTAGATCCCCCCAGGGTCTCTGTATTGAAAGCTATCATCTCTAAGCAGGGACTCCTGGCCACCAGCCTTCCTCACAGAGCTGTTCAAAGGCCTGGATGTGGCTGAAGATGTGAGGAGTCCTGAGGAGAGGGCCTCACGGCATCCACCTTTTCACCTTTCTGTAATACAAAGAGTCTGCTGCTCAGCCCTGAACCCAGGACCTGGCACTAGGAGATGATCTTGGCCCAGCTGATGCCAGATCACAGTCTCCACTGGATTTGGGGGACAGGAGGCCTTGCCTGATGCCAGGTTTCTGAGGAGCTCCACTGTTTCTGAATTCCCAACCTACCCCTTTTCTCTCTCAGCCACTGCCCCCCTCACCACCACCACCACCACCACCACCACCACCACCACCACCACCACCACCACCACCACACTGGTGGGCCACGATCCCTCTGTCAAGTCTCCGAGCCTCGCTTTCCTCTCCTGAAATAGGGAAGCTTTAAAAATACCATAGCTAGCCAGGCAGAAGCACATGCCTTTAATTCCAGCACTTGGGAGGCAGAGGCAGGCGGATCTCAAGGCCATCCTGGTCTATACAGTGAGCTCCAGGACAACCAGGCTGCATAGTGAGACTCGTCTTTAAACAAACAAACAAAACCATGGCTGGTCCCAACCCCTCAGCCCGCACCCCGCATCTGGAGATGGTGTCAAGGGATCAAGGTTTCATTTTGATTGAGATGAGGTCTTGAGGTATACCTAGGCTGGCTTCAAACTGGATATGTCAGGCTTGGTGACTCATGCCTGTGGAGACTGAGGCAGGAGAATTGCTGCAAGGTCAAGGCCAGCCTGGGCTACATAATGAGTTCCAGGTTCCAGGTCACCTTGTGCTAGAGTAAGATCCTGTTTTAAAAATAAGAACAACAAACTGCTGGCCTCAAGTGATCTTGCCTCAGCTTCCCAAGTAACACCACCTCTACTAAGCTTAGCTAGCATTTTCCTTAAAGGTTCCTAGGCAATCCTAACACAGTCAGGGCTGAGGGCCACTATCCCACAGAGTCACTCAGAGAAAGAAATGGCTTCCCTTCTCCTGTCTTCTTGGCTGCTAAGACTCAGTTTTTGGCTTCCCAGATCTGGCTCTCTCCTTCACCTGCTTTGAGCCTGTAGTGCACCAACACGACCCCATCTCAGTCCAGGAACTCCGGGGCCATTGCAGCCACAATGCCAATCTCCTGTACCTTTCGGCTGGCTCCGTAGAGCTCCTACCTATCAAGACAGGCCCTGTGCTGGGTGCTTCCCACCGCAGCCCCTCATCAGGTTATCTAGGGCCGAGAAGCCTTTTCTAAAGGGCCCACCCTTCTCTGGCAGATGGACAGCACCCTCTGTGCCCATCACTGAACAGCCATTTCCCACACCCTATTGCCAACCAGCAGTATTCTTCATAAGGTTGCCCTGGAAGATCCAGCTTCCGCTCCTCCATGCTTCTCTTACAGGCTGCATCCTCTCCCCCTGCTCCCAGAAGTATGTCTGAAGTCCATATTCCAGCCAGCAGCTCAAAGACTAACTCCTCAAAGCGGGCTCTTCCAACTCACAGTGTCCCTTAGGTAGTCCATGGTAGGTAAACCCAGAGGCCTTGGTCAAGGTGTCCGGAAAGGAGGCTCCACTCGGGCCTACCCGTCTCTCTACTCTTTTTGTTGATTTTTTTTTTGTCTTCCTACTTTGCAGCTCTGGGAATCAAACACAAGGTCTTCTGCATGCTAGGCAAACAATCCATCCCTGAGTTATAGCCTCAGCCCTTGGCTTTGTTAGGTTTTTTTTAACACGGTGCCTGGCTAGCCTAGAACTCACTATGTAGACCAGGCTAGCCTTGTCTCAGACTCCTAGAGATTCACCTGCCTCTGCCTCCTGAGTGCTTGAAATAAGGTATCCATCCCCACAAGTTGTTCTCTGACCTCCACATACATTGACTCTGGGCAAATGTGTGCATGCATTTGTCCACATGCAATTGAAGAGGACCTGGGCTCAGTTTACAGAACCTACATGGTGGTTCACAACCATCCACAGCTCCAGTTGCAGGGGACCTGATGTCTTCTTCTGCCCTGCACACCAAGCATACATGTACTTACGTATGTGCAGGCAAATACATACATACAATAAAAACAAATGTTAAAAAAAGTCAGCCAGGTGGCGCACGCCTTTAATCCTAGCACTCGGGAGGCAGAGACAGGCAGATCTCTGTGAGTTCGAGGCCAGCCTGGTCTACAAAGAGAGTTCCAGGACAGCCAAGACTACACAGAGAAACCCTGCCTCGAAAGGAGAAGGAGAAGGAGGAGGAAGAGGAAGTAGTAGTAGTAGAAGTAGTAGTCGTCCATCCCAGTCCGTCCCTAAAGTGTCCTTGTCTGGTGGGAAAGTTAAGTCAGAGTGTGGCCCCCAGGAGCCACCCTGAGCCCGCCAGCACCCACCTCGGAACATGTCGTACCACACCTTCTTGGCCTTGAGGTGCTGCAGCCCATTGAGGTGCTTCTTTCGGTTGTGCAGGTTGTCCTGGAAGGAGCGGTCACAGTAATCACAGAAGTATCGCTTCCCCATGGCCACCTCCACCAAATGCGAGGGCCCCTGCAAAGCCACAAAGCATTTGGTCAGACCACTGAAGAGAAGATCCTGTGCCAAAGCTCTGGGCACACACAGGGTCCTCATCCAAGCACGGAGAGCCAGGCTCGGGCCAAGGCTTTGCTCGCAGGCCCGCTGCCTCTGGAGTTTGCAGAGCTGACAGCTGACAGTCCTCCCAGAGGGCCTCACTCTTCTGCTACACAATTCAACACTGGCTGGCCGAGCTAGAGCTTCAGGGTACGAGGTCCAAGTCTGGAGAGATTTATCTACTGATTCTGGTTTTTCCAGATAGTCTCTCTGTGTAACCCCCTGGCTGTCCTGGATCTCGATCTATAGACCAGATTGGCCTTGAACTCACAGAGATCCACCTGCCTCTGCCTCCTGAGTGCTGGAATTAAAGGCATAAGCCACCACTACCCTGCTGGAGATTTATTTTTTAAACTTCTAGGTAATTCTAAGGTGGACAGGCTGGAGGACGACCACCTTAAACCCTCTGGCTCGCCTCCTTCATCGCTGGTGGGCCTCCAACCTCCGTGTTCTCTCCGTTCAGGCCTCCCCCTGCTCCTCACACATGCCAGGCATGTGGCTGCCGTCTTGGGTTTGTCCTTGCTGAGCCTGGGCCTGGAGACTGTCTCTCAGACACCTGTCACACTCGCTCACTCAGTCCTTTGCTCAAATGCTCCCACCATCAGTGGATCTGAACTCGACCACTCGACCTGAACACACAGGATCCTCTTTAGTTCTCACCACTTTTGCTTTATTTTTCCTCAGAGCACTTACCTCCTTTAAAGCAATAAATTACTTGTTATGTTACTGTCTTTCTTTTCCAACAAGAATATAAATCCACGAAGGCAAGTATATTTTGCTGTTTCTTAGGGGCTCCAGCCCCTAAATGGTACTTGGAACAGAGCAGGTAGGCAACCAGGCATTTGCAGAATAAATTAACGAATCACCATGCTCCCTTTGGGACAACTGGGGTTCAGAGGGAGGAAGCGACTTGCCTAATGTCACACAGCTGGTAAGCAGAAAGCAAATACAGGTCCCCTAAAATTCTGCTGCCAAGTGTTCCCCCTCCTACAGCTCGCTCAGTGCTCAGGGAAGCCAGAGAGCGCCACAGCAGGTGCTGACGGCTTCCTGAGGAGATGGCTGCATCTTGGGGGAGGAGGTTCCCAGGCAGCATCAGATGGCAACGAGAACACTGCAGTGTCTCCAGGCCCTTCAGCAACAGCTCCCTCAGCCACCACGTCCCATGGCAAGGCGGACAGTGATTCCATCAGTCTCACAGCCACGTCCCGGGTCTTGCAGCCCACTGGGAGCTATCCCGAGGGACAGCGAAGACTAAGGCCAGAGCAGCCCCTCCCACGTCAAGAGCAGGCTCCTGAGGGAGGCCCAGAGGAAGATGGAAATGACTTCCCTGAGGTTACAGGGTGGCTATCTGAAGTGCCACACACCTGGCACACCGGGCTGACTCTGGGACTGAACCCACAGAGCAAACAGATGGGGGAGCACACCTCGGGAAGCTGGGACTGGGAGGGAGGAGGAGACAAACAGTTGCCCGGGCTGGTTGAGGCAGCCAAGCAGGCTGATGGAGGAAGTTGCTCTTGCAGCAGACAGGGATGGCAGCCATTAAGTCAAGGGCTGTAATGGGATCAGGAGCGGCTAGTCATTCCAAATGAAAACGTATAAAACCTCTCTTCTCCCATTACTTCCCAGAAACTGCATCCCAGACACGAGGACTTGATCTATTAAATTTGGCAGCTCTAATGCACCCTGTCTTGCCAATAAACTTATAGGAATTGGATTGAAATTGTTAGAGATGAACGCGTAACGGCCGAGTGCTTAACCAAGCCATTCACGAAGCTTGAAGCTCCACGGAGCTGCTGGCTCCGGAGAGGAATGGGAAAAGGAGGGGCGGAGGAAGGTGTCCCTCTGGAGACTGACAGGAAGTGGAACAATGGCTCTGCAACAGACGGAGGTGGACAAAACCACCCAGAGCACAGAAACCAGCTGTGTGACCTTATGCAGGTCACTGTCCCTTCCTCGCGCCTAGATTTTACTGTGTGAATCCGAGACAGTGGATCTGAATGATCAGCTATCGTTTCAGGAGTAATACAGACAAATATGCTAATACAAAGTTACAGATTTAGGCGAGGCTACAGGTCAGTGGCAGTGCACTTGCCCAGCAGGCATGTGGCGATGGGTCCAATCTCTAGCACCACAAATAAAAAAGACTAGGAACTGAGACTAACTCATGTTCAGCATCAAGTGCTCAGGAAACATTACTGGAGTCGTGGTTCTGAGCATCTATCAGACACTGGCTTTGCATGCATCATCCCACACAAGCCTCATCATGACCTGCAAGGGATGCCCATGAGACTTCAGGGTAAGAGCACTGAGACCCCAAGAGGCAAAGAAGCTCAGTCAAGGCCACACACTAGCAGGCAGCTGAGCTGGGCTTAGAACCCAGGTAGGATGTCGGCACTACACTAACCACGGCACTACACTAACCACAAGTCTCCAACAAATCATATGGACACTTACTATTCATTCACCCCACTACCATGCTGGTCCCTTTGAAACCCAAAATGTATGCATTAAAACCTACTTATGAATGGGAAAGATGAGGATCAGAGAGATACTATGAAGTGCCTTGGTCACAGAACAGGTTTCAGAATAAGGGAAGCCTCTAGTCACACCATTGGAAACACTAGCCCACTAGGAAATCAAGGCCACATGCCTCTCTGCCCATCTGCTCGGTCACACCAGAAACCAAATGAGCTCCTCCCCCGTGCACACATACATGGTGGCAAACCTCCTTTATGAACCTCAGCTAAGAGCCACAGCTGCCCACCCATAACCTCCTCTGGCTACCCCAGACAAGTCCACAGATCTGTCAGGAGAAGCCGGGGCTATCACTTGCCCTCTAGGGGCCTCATTGTACAGTGGCCGGAGGAGGGTCAAACCAGGAGATCTCTAAGGACCCCTGTAGGTCTAGTGTCTGTTGGTGACCACAGAAGGTGACCACAAGGCCAGGCAGTGGTGGCACACGTCTTTAATCCCAGCACTCGGGAGGCAGAGGCAGGAGGATCTCTGTGAGTTCAAGGCCAGCCTGGTCTACAGAGTGAGTTCCAGGACAGCCAGGGAAGGTGACCACAACAGTCCCTTCATTCAACTGTCACTGTTCGGATGGCACTGAGTCCCAGGCCCTGTTATCACCTGCTCTGGTTTCTAGGGAGGTCATGTGGGGTAAGGGGTAAGAACTGGGCTCTAGAGTTCAAGCCTAAACTTAAAAGATTTTTTTTTTAAAGATTTATTTATTTATTATGCCGGGCGGTGGTGGCGCACGCCTTTAATCCCAGCACTCGGGAGGCAGAGCCAGGCGGATCTCTGTGAGTTCGAGGCCAGCCTGGGCTACCAAGTGAGATCCAGGAAAGGCGCAAAGCTACACAAGAGAAACCCTGTCTCGGAAAACCAAAAAAAAAAAAAAAAAAAGATTTATTTATTTATTATGTATACAGTGTTCTGCCTGCATGTTTTCCTGCAGGCCAGAAGAGGGCACCAGATCTCATTACAGATGGTTGTGAGCCGCCATATGGTTGCTGGGAATTGAACTCAGGACCTCTAGAAGAGCAGCCAGTGCTCTTAACCACAGACAGAGCCATCTCTTCAGCCCTCAAGTCGAAATTTAAATCCAGGGCTACTGCTTTCTTTCTTTCTTTTTTTTTTTTTTAAAGATTTATTTATTTATTATGTATACAGTATTCTGCCCACACACCAGAAGAAGGCACCAGATCTCATTACAGATGGTTGTGAGCCACCATGTGGTTGCTGGGAATTGAACTCAGGACCTCAGGAAGAACAGCCAGTGCTCTTAACCTCTGAGCCATCTCTCCAGCCCTGGGCTACCGCTTTCTAACTCTAGTCTTACCAGTCCTTTGACTCCGACTGTTTCCCATGACAGCAGGGATGTTAAGAGCGGCCCGAGGGTGGCTGTGAGCATCAGGGCATTTGTGTTTGCACGACCACAGCACCAGGCCCTCATGAAACCCCAGCTATCAATACCATCAGTATTAGAGGCCTGCTGAAACTGGATGTCAGTGTTCAAATGGCCCCTGAAATTACCCAGTTTACATTGCAGAGAAGGCAAGTGAGTCTAAGAGAGGACCACGGAGCGACCAAAGTCCACAGCACCAAAGGCCAAGGTGGGCCTGGACCCCCAGCACCACAGACCAGACTCCCCATTGCATGATGGCTCCACAGCCTCCTGTGCCCAGGGATAACAGCAGAGGCTCAGTGCTTTCACCTCTCCCCAGGCTTGTCCCCACAGCCAGGGGCTCAAAGCCATGCCTTGGCAGGAGCTGGCCTTTAGCAAGGTGACCTCTCTAGACAAGAAGTTCCAGGCACCCGATCCAAACGCCGCCAGTAAGGGCTTGGGCACATATTAAGGGGCAGCCTGCAGAACTTCCTAGCCAGGTACAGCACCTTACCACACTGTAAACAGAACCGTTCGTGCCACAGCCAGGCGTCTTTGCACAAAGCACACCCTGCAGCACTGTGCTCCTTGGCCCTGAGTTGGCAGAAGGGAGACAGCTGGAGTGTCTATGCATGGGGCCCAGACAACAGCATGCGGTGCTGACTAAGCTGGCCTTCTCCACCATGATTCATCCCCATCTTCAGCAGTGTGAGCTAGGCTCTGTCCGGAACACAGAATGATCCAGCCCCACGCCTCACCAAGAACACAGGTGGTACCACCGACCCACTCCTAGGGACCAGGTCCATGGCTACAACACTATCTGCTGGTTCCCCAGAGCTTCACCAGATGCTAGGGCTGGCTATTCATGGCCAAGGGACAATACTTAAGCTGGTGAGACTTAAGTCCTCTGGGACCACACGGCAGATTCTAATGCCAATGCCCTCTGCAAAGTGATTTCAAGTACTGAGTGTGCCCTTAGCTATAAAACCAGGGTCTCACAGCTGATAGCACATGGCTCTTCAGCATCCACAAG